AGTTTTGAGGTGGCACATCACCTTTACAAAAACATGTATTTAACAAAACCAAAAAAGTTACGAAAGAATTGAATTAAAACATCTTGATTCAATGGCAAGGGAGGTCACAACAGCTAGATGCATGAATGATGTCCCAACTAGACCGGTGTTGCAGCAAAAAGGGGGGGAAAAATGGTAAATAAATTAGGAGGGTCGTCGTTAGACCAAGAAAGAAAGGTTTAATTATAAACTCATCATTCTTTATCCATAGGACCATTGGTGTCGCGTTGCCATTGAGTCCTTGACCACATTACCTTTGAGATTCCTTTTGCGTACCCGGAATCTAGATACAGCTCAGTGACAACGAACTCTTTTATTTTGCTTCCGACTTCCGCTTTTCACAGCTAGCTCTTATATATATATATATATGGGTTTCATTGGTTTGGAAAGCAAAACAAGAATTAGTTAAAATCTGGCACTTGAGTGGTGAAGTCGAGAAGTGTAGTAAAAGATGTATATGGGTTAAAATATTTTTTTGTACTCAATAGAATAAAATTTTTTGGTTTGCAGACAAAAAGTTATATAGTCCAACATAATTTAAATTATACAAATTTTTTTTACATACCCAGAATTTAAATTGTATAATAATAATTATTTTTTTGTATATATCAACTACGCTAAAGTAGAGAATTTATGGCTCTATTTAATTTAATTTTTTGGAAAAACTTATGCTAATAATTTATATCTGACAATTAATACATCAGATTAAGAATACATGTGAAACCAATTGCATATGATCATGTAATAAAAAACTCTTATATGTACAATATTTCCTCACATGAAAAATTATTTAGTAATTTAGACTATACTAATTCACAAAACAACAAATTTATAAAAATATATATATACTGTATATAACACTGTAACAACTAGAGTGCATATTGGTCAAACTCTTGTACAATGTAATTCAACATTTTTTGCTGGTAAAAATTAGAACACCGATTTTGGGAGACAGAGTCAGTCATTTTCCGCGATTTGTGATCATTATATTGCGTGTTAAGAAAGATGGACAAAATTTCTATTTCATGCTTTAATTGGTTCCACATTGTGGGAAATAGAATGGCCCCGTTAATGAATTGTGAATGACATAATTTTTCGTCTTTGATTTTGGACCCTACCATGTGATGTGCCTATGCAAGTATAGAATGGCTTTACCTTCGGAAAAAGCGTTCCTCTTCTGAGGAAAGAAATATTGCCCCCCATATGGCCCAAAACCGCCATAATTGGTTTCGAGAAGGAAAAAAGGTAAAGGGAAAAGGAAAATGGAGACTTGTTGGCTGCCAGTAAAAATGTGGATAAGATAATAATTTTGTTTTTTTTTTTTCTATTTAAGCATACAAATTTTTTTAGTTTTTAAATCAAACTATCACCTTTCTAATTTTTTCTATATAAATATACAAATTTTGTGAGTTTTCTATTGAAGGATTATTACATCTATTAGCCACATCATCATTTACCATCCACTAAATGCTTACATAAAAAAATGCAAAGTTTATATTCTGATTTAGAAAAAAAATTAAAAATTGATAGGTTTGTATAAAAACAAAAACAATTCATATTCTTAAATAAAAAAACCAAAATTTATACAATTATCTGCATTTTTCCTCGGTTAGCAACCAAAAACGTGAAAGTGCTGGCATTGAAACTTTGCCTTTGGATTGGCTTTGATTTGGGTGGAATTTTGAGACCTCAATATCTGGCACGCAATCTATATATTACATGTGAACCATGGTAGGCATTTGTTGATGGATTTTAACTAGATCTACCTCCACGTGTTGCTTAGTTCATTTACTATTTTATTTCTTAACAAGATAGAGTAATGTAAAAATATTTTAAACTCAAAAATAGATATATTTAACTAATTTATTGTTTTAAGGACATTGTCATTCTTAAAAGTAACAAATTAATACGATATAAATTAAAGGATTAAACTCAAACTTGAGTCTATTAGTGTAAAATATTCTAACTGTTTAACTTAGCCACCATGGCAAAGGTTGGTTAATTAGGTTGTTAGAGAATGATTAATTGATCAATTAGTTAAGGGGTTTAATTAGTATAGAAACTTGAAATTCAAGGGTTACAATGGAAACTCCCCCTACTTTTTTCCTTCACCGTTTTTTAATGAAAAATTAATAAAAATAAAAGGTTAAAAAAACCCTTGGTGCAATGCAAGCAATGACTTTGGGTGGGCAAAGCAAGAGTTGGGGCATGTGGGCCTTCGGATGTTGAAAGTTGGCGGGTAGGACTTAGGAGAAGACTTTTTGTTGGCGGTAATCATGGTTCCCTCCCTAACACTTCTGTTAGATAATGATGATTAGAGACAATGAGGTTATTCCAACCATGTACCAAAAAATTAAGTTATTCCGACCAATGAAACCCCACCCACAAAATTAAGTTATCACTATTATCAGTTAATAGCTGTACTGTAGCTGTTAATTGATATGATATATATATATATATTTTTTTTATGTTGGTTGCATAATGAAAAGTAATCATTTTTCATTTTTTATTTTACTCCAATCGCATATTATATGACTCGAATTTATAATTTTTTACTTCTTGCGAAAAGAGATGATCACTAAGTTATTTAAGTTGTTAATATTAATGGATATGATAATTAATATTTATTATTTATCAAATTAAAATAAGTTAATATTGGGTTAATGTTTTTAAATACTACAATCAGGTTTTTTAAGGAAAAAAATTATAAATTGATAAAATCAATCAAATTAAAATACATACTATATTATTTATGTGATCATAATAAAATATCGTGTAGCAGTACCCACATTCCCAATTGCTACAGCATTGTAATTTTAATTAGAAAATTTTTAAAATTTGTCCCTTATTTAATTTGCTCCCTAAACTTAAATGTTTTTTATAATCCCCCATAGATTTTAGTCTTTGGCAAATGGAATTTGACACAAACAAAATGAAATAAATTGAATTTCCTGTTCATTTATTCATCTTTCTGTGGATAAATATCCAAAATTATTTAAAATAACTTTCAAAATATCATTGTTACGTTGTAACTGACAATAATTTTTAAACTTCACTACATAAGAGATCATTCCTAAATCTTGATGATTGTATAAGAGACAGATGTTGATATATGTCCAAATCATCAGTTCTTATGCTTATTGTTTTTAAAAAAGATTTATGGAATGTTAAAAATAAAAAATCTGTGCAAAAAGAAAATACAATGTGTTAAATATTCATATATGCAATGTCATTTTCGTGAGTAGTCACGTGAAAACGGCCATGGTTGGTAATGGAACCATATAAAAATTGATGTGGAAGGTAGGG